AGATATATCTGAGAAAAACCTATGAAACGTACCTTGGTCATCTCGAGAAACAAACATCATATTTACTATTACAAGCTTTAAGAAACTATTGACACTTGAATTTTATGCTACTTATGTTCAATTTCTAGGGGCTAAAGTTGTAGCTCAACAGCTGAAAAGCATATCATGTGTGAGACCATTCTGGGTTGGATCCCCTGCACCACAAAAGAAACAATGAAAAGATAAAATTTGTACAATCCACTAGAAGTCCTATTGTATACTGTGTGGAATATGACTATCCTGTTCCCTTACAATCTCAAAACTGCCTTCCATTATATTAGGTTACTCTCTGTATGATTAATGGCAATAATTCATCTTGAAATTCGAAGATGCTTCTGTTTAAAATGGAGATACTTAAAAAACGACTTCTCTTCTGACACTGGTTAGAATTTAACTCCTCCTACTTAGGAAGAGATTGAAGCTCTAGCATATTCCATGACTTGACCAAAGTCAACAACTAGCAAGAGGCAGGGTTTGAGTGCAATCCCAGATTTATCTATCTCAAAGCCAACACTTCCACTTGAGCACAATTATCTCCTTAAAAGATTAAGAGACAGTTCAACAGCGGAGAGGAGTCTGGTCTCTCCAAACATTCCACAAACTTTCCTGAAACATCTATCACACTACTTAAAATTCAGCAACATAAACATAACTGAAGAGAATCTTTCCGCTTCATTTAAACTGTAGCAGGTTTACCTGCAGGTGAGAAAGAGGTTGGAAAAGACTTGCCTCAACATGTCTCTCCTAGACCTCTATTTATACGGATTTCCCAGTAGTTTTTTTTTTTTTTTTTCAAGTACGTACATTTAGAAGACTATCATTCGACGATAGTCAGGTGCTTTTCAGTATTGCACTTTTCTAAGAAAATTTATACCAAATACATAGCCGGCTGAGAGACTGTTGAATATGCCCTTCCTGCACTTTGCAAATATCTGAAATATTCAGGGGCAATAAATGCAACATAGTTCCACGCTATCTTAGGCTGCGATGCCCTGCTCTCCTGAAGGACACCTCTCCGGTAAGACGCCTGCCGGGGCGACGGAGCAGTAAAGGAAGAAGCGGGGGAAGCGCACGGAAGTTGGGTGGAGGGAGGTCTCACTCCCCACTCTTCTGCCCCAGCTCTGCCAAGGGCGGCTCCGCGATGCCCAGGCGACCCGAAACCCCCACCAACCCTCGAAGCCCGGCTCAATCCGAGCCCAGAGGATCGAGGAAGCGGGCCGAGGGAAGCCCGGGATGACCAGAGCTACCCCGCGAAGTCCGTACCCCGCTTTCCGTCCTGGATGATGCTCCCCCTTTCAGATCGGGCGCCCCAGGTGGGAACTCCCGGTCAGCACCAGCCCAAGTCCCTAGCCTCAAAGGGGCGCCTCCTACGCCCGCGTAGGACCCGCCGCCCGCGACTCTCCGCCCGCTGGCTCTCCGTCCCGCCCCCGCCACCCTCCGAGCCGGCCTGCGCCCCACCCGGAATCCCCGGGTCCCCCGCCCCACCCCAGCGGAGGGCCCCCCGCCCAGCCCTCACAGAGTCTCCTCAGACCCCAGCCTCCCAGCCCTAGGCGAAGCCAGCTCGTCTACCTGAATCGGCCGCGCTCCGGGACTCCAATGGGGCGGGAGCGGTTCCCTCCCCGCGACGCCAAGCGCTCCTTCAGCCACCCTGTAAAGCGGTGGCTTTGCTTTCTCGGGAGCGGGAGGGAGACGAGGAGCCCCCCGCCCAGCCCTCACAGAGTCTCCTCAGACCCCAGCCTCCCAGCCCTAGGCGAAGCCAGCTCGTCTACCTGAATCGGCCGCGCTCCGGGACTCCAATGGGGCGGGAGCGGTTCCCTCCCCGCGACGCCAAGCGCTCCTTCAGCCACCCTGTAAAGCGGTGGCTTTGCTTTCTCGGGAGCGGGAGGGAGACGAGGAGGCGGAGGGGAGGGGGAAGGCGAGGAGCGGAGGGGCGGCCCGAGCAGAACCGGAAGCAGTACTGCTGGCCCCGCCCACCACCTGAGCCCAGGCGCATCCTGGGGCCCCTGATAGGACAAACCCTGAGAAATTCAGACCAGCACTTCCGGGTCTTCCCTGCGACGGCCCCCTCCTTAGCAACAGCGTGGGGTTACTAAGCGGAAGTGCCTTCAAAGATACCCACCCCCATTTCTTAGGGGACTACAGGGAGGCAGACTGGAAGCGTCGGGTTCGCCTTCGGAAACGCCCTCCTTCACAGCCAGTTTGTGCTCTAAGCTGTAACAGCTGTTCCGCGCGCGTGTGGCTTTTTCCTCCAGGTGGCTCCCTGCCACCTGCCAAACTACTCACCTGCTCCCTCCCTCGCCGAATCCCAGGCCACCCGGGCGGCTCCACCCTAAGCGCTTCTTCTAGGTCCCGTTCTGGAGTTTCCTTCCTAGCGGATAAGCAAGCGTCTCCCTCTGCTGGATTTCCTAGAGTTTTCAACCATTTTTTTTTCTTTTTTTTTTTTTTTTTTTTTTTTTTTTTTTTTTTTTTAAGATCCCCTGTAGCCCAGCTGTCCTGGAACTCACAGAGATCCTCCTGCCTCTGCCTCCCAAGTGCTGGGACTACAGGCGTGCGCCACCACGCCCTGCTGTTCTAAAATTTCGTCAGTGTTGTGAAAGCTTTTGCATGCACTTCGGTCTCTAACAGACCCCAAAGTCGAATGGTAGGTGAGAAAAGTTTTGTCTTAGCGTGTCTTTTTCTAAGGACTTAATGTGCTTGTGTGTGATCTGGAAATAACCTTGTTATATCGAAGAGGCAAAAAAAGATTCCATGTGGGCTGGGTAGATGGCTCGGCGGTTAAGACCACTGACTGCTCTTGCAGAAGACCCACGTTCAAATCCCAGCATCCACACAGCGGCGGCTAACAACTTTCCATTAACTCCAGGGGATCCAAAGCCTTCTTCTGACTGCGTGGAATTTGCACGACGTGGGTGCACTTACGTACATGCAGGCAATACACTCATACACATAAAATAAAAATAAAGATTCCATGTAAATCAACTAGAGTGATTTTTATTCTTTAAAGCAAACAAAGGCCAAAGCATCCAGGCTTGTGGCACACTCGAGTTCCAGGCCAGCCTGGGCTACATAGTGAGACCCTGTCATAAAACAAGGGCCAAAGGAAGATCATACTCAAGCTTGAAAGGACAATTTTAATCCTTCATTCAGAAGGCTACCTACACTGAACAAGATGAGTGCCCAAAAGAAACCTCATTTAAACTGGTGTGGTGGGCAGGCCTGTAATCCCTGGACCCCAGACGCAGAAGGAAGAGGACAAGCTTCAAAAACAAAAACAAAACACTCACCTGGTACATATCAGATACTAGGTTCAATCCTGTCTTTGAAAAAACTGAAAAACTTGGTTGGGGCAAAAGCAAACAAAATAATCCTCTGCTTACAAAATGACCTAGATCATGATAGAATAATTACATATTCAGAGAAAACCGAACAAAAAACTCAAAATCATTAATGAATTTGCTTGTTTTCTCTATTTTTTATTTATTTTTTTTTTTGTGTGGCTTTTGAGACCAGGGTCTCCATATAGCCCCAGCTGTCTTGGAACTCACTACGTAGACCAGGCTGGCCTTGAACTCACAGAGATCCTCCTGCCTCTGACTCCCAAGTGCTGGGACTAAAGGTGTGCACCACCACACTGGGCTCTCTCTCCCTTTTTTTGAAAGACAGGGTCTCACTATATAGCTCTGTCTAGCCTGGAACTCGCTACACAGACCAGGCTGGCTTCAAACTCACAGAGATCATCTACCTCTCAAATGCTGAAATTAAAGGCATGCACCAAGGCCTGGCTGCCTTTTCTATCTTAGCTTTAGCTTTGAATTTTTCTTCTCTAATATAACAATGAAAACTTGGAACTGCAGGCCTGATTTTATTGGTCACAATATTAGTGGACTGTTGTCCACCTCAGCTAAGATAGGAAATTAACTTTGGTACATAAAAAGAACACTAAGTCTACTAGTCTCCTGGATCTGTGGGATGGCATTGATACCCTAGGCAGTCAATTCAGCAAAGCTTTTAAAAAATCACTTTAGGCACAAATGTACCAGTAAGTAGGCTCTTTAATAAGTCTAAAACTTTTCCACTTCTTCCATCAATATGTGTACATGTGGGAATACACACACACACACACACACACACACACAATATACAATTCAAATGGAATATGAGCACATCAGTAAATTAATTGTTCTTTAAGAATCTGGCAAAAAGTGATGAGTGATAAAATTACCACAGTTTGGTATTTCAACTATCAACAGGTCTAAATATCAACCTTTAAATTTGAAAATAAAATTACGAGCCCAATGAGAAAGTATGAAACTGATGTATCAAAAATTTAAAACATTGCATGACACGGGTGCACTCACATACATGCAGGCAATACACTCATACACATAAAAATAAAAAGACAAAACATAATTATGGTAAATAGATTTGACTGACAGAAATTAATGCCTTAGGGGCTGGGGAGATGATGGCTCAGAGGTTAAGAGAAGCCACTGCCATTGCAGAGGACCCAGATTCAGTTCCCTGCATCCATGTGGTAGCTAACAAGAGTCCTTAATTCCAGTTCCAGGGGCTCCAATGTCCTGTTCTGGCCTCCATAGGCATTGCAGGACACAGATGCACTTACATACATGTAGGCTAGACATTCACACACATCAAAATAAATTTTAAAAAAGAAATTAATGCCTTATTAAATGAAATTAAGTTACAATTAAACCTGAGTTTAAGCTGATGTGGAAATATACATTCCTGTACATAACTCTACTGTCTAAGGGGGATGATAAGTAGTATTTAATTGCACGCCTGTCTTACTGCTTTTTTAAAATTTGCTTTTCTGTCAGGGTGTGAAAAACTAAACTGACTCCTAAGTGATCACAGGAGTTTAACTTTTCTTTTCTGCACTCAGTGCTTGGAGACCTCAAAGATGACATGTAAAATCCTAGCCTTAACTATATATGTGAGTTTACACTTTTAGGATGTTGTGACTAGGGAAGAATCTATATTCTTTTTAAGTATTATATCCATTTATTTGTGTGTGTGTGTGTGTGTGTGTGTGTGTGTGTGTGTATGGGGGAAGTACCTGCAGTGCATATGTGGTGACAGATAACTTGCAGGAGTCTGTTCTCTCCTTCTACCATGTGGATCCTAGGGATCGAATTAAGCTGAGCACAATGCTTGTGATTCCAGCACTTGGGAGTCTGAGGCAGAAGGATCAACAGTTTAAGGTCATCCTCAGCTACATAAAGAGGTCAAGTCCAACGTGCCCTACATGAGACCATCTAGAAAACAAAAAAACAACAAAAAAGAACACAAAGAGTTAGCTAACAGCCCTTGGGAAGCTGAGGCAAGAGGACTGACATGAATTCTAACAGAGCCTGAACTAAAGAGTAAGACCCTGTCTGGGCTGGAGAGATGGCTCAAACGGTTAAGAACACTAACTGTTCCTGCAGAAGACCCAAGTTCAAATCCCAGCACCCACATGGCAGCTAACAATTGTCTGTAACTCCAGTTCCAGGGGATCCAAAAGCCTCTTCTGTCTTCCGTGGGCATTGCATGAAACGGGTGCACTTACCTACATACAGGCATAACACTCATACACATAAAATAAAAATAATAAAAATTAAATAAAAATTTAAAAAAGAGTGAGACCCTGTCCCCCCAAAAAATAAACAGCATATTTATTATTTCTTTTGGAGAAACTCAATATTCTAGAATACTTAGTGTTGAAATATTGTTAGAGCACTATATGTGGTAGCATACACATGTAATCCCAGCATTCAGGAGAATGAGGCAAAACTAAATTCAAGGCCAATCTGAGTTACAAACAAAACAAAAAAAGCAATACTGTTAAGAGTTCCTCTGGTTTCTCCAAACACAAAAGACACTACAACTAGAAATGAACAGCAAACTGATGAATACTCAGGGCCAGTAAGAAATTTAGCTAGGTTTTTTTTTTTTTTTTTTTTGGTCTTTTTGAGACAGGGTCTCTCTGTAGCCCCAGCTGTCCTGGAACTCACTATGTAGACCAGGCTGGCCTTGAACTCTCAGAGATCCGCCTGCCTCTGCCTCCCCAGTGCTGAGATTAAAGGCATGCACAACCACGCCCAGCCAGGCTTGCTATTTATGTGCCTAAGCAATAAACAATTCAGAAGAAATAGCCCTTTATATAAGTAATTCATAGAGGGACTGGAGAAATGGCTCAGTGGTTAAGAGCACTGGCTGCTCTAGCAGAAAATCCCAGCACCCACATAGCAGCTAAAAACTGTCCATAGCTCCAGTTCCAGGAGATCCAATGCCCTCTTCTGACCTGTATAAGCATTGCATGACCTACATCCAAGCAATACCCATACGCACGCCTTTAGTGCCAGCACACGCCTTTAACCCCAGCACTCAGGAGGCAGAGGCAGGCGGATCTCTGTGAGTTCAAGGCCAGCCTGGTCTACATAGTGAGTTCCAGGATAGCTGGAGTAACAGGGAGACCCTGTCTCAAAAAGACCAAAAAAAAACGAAAACCAAAAAAAAAAGTAATCTCTAAAGCTAATGTCAAAAGTAAGAGAAAAAGGAAACCCAAAGGGAAAAACCTGAAGCAACTCTGGACAGCAATGAGCTTCACAAGGAAGGCCTAACCCAAGGCAGAGAGTCAGAAGGTGATGCTTCAGCTGCTCCGTGTTAGACATAAAAAAAATTATTTATCATTTTTATTTTATGTGTATGAGTGTATTGCCTGTATTGCATGTGAGTGCACCTGTGTCGTGCAATGCAGCAGAAGTCAGAAGAGGGCTTCGGATTCCCCTGGAACTGGAGTTAAGGATGGTTCATAGCTGTAGCCCCAGCTGTCCTGGAACTCACTAAGTAGACCAGGCTGGCCTTGAACTCAGAGATCTGCCTGCCTCTGCCTCCTGAGTGCTGGGATTAAAGGTGTGGGCCACCACACCCGGCCTTATAACAAATATCTTTAAATATAATTGAAGGTTGACTTATAGAAAGAATAACTTGTTCTTTCAAGAATAGAGCAGGGCTGGAGAGATGGCTCTGCAGTTAAGAGAACTGGCTGCTCTTGCAGAGTACTGGAGTTCAGTTCCTAGCACTCACAAGGCAGCTAACAACCATCCTTAACCCCAATTCCTGGAGATCTGACATCCTCTTCTGGCCTCCATGAGCAATACATGACATAGGTACACTTACATGCAGGCAAAACACTCATACACAGAAAATAATAAATTTTTTAAAAGAATAAAAATAGAGTTAAAACAATTCAAACTTGTAACATTTTTCACAATTACAATAGTTGAAAAAAGACAGCCCACCTAGCGAACATTTGCTAGTTGGCTTGGGTTGAACATGATGGCTTCAAACATCCCTCCAAATTTGATCCAATGAAGACCTCTTTCATTTCCATATGTCATTCTCAAAGGTTAAAAAGGAGCCATAGGGCAGGGCATGGTGGCGCACGCCTTTAATCCCAGCACTTGGGAGGCAGAGGCAGGTGGATCTCTGTGCGTTCGAGGCCAGCCTGGTATACATAGCAAGTTCCAGGACAGCTGGGGCTACAGGGAGACCCTGTCTCAAAGAGACCAAAGAAAAAAAAAAAGCCATAACAACAATGTCAAAAGTCAAAAGTTTCCATTTTTTTAATAAGGGGTTAATCTGGAAGATTCTAAGTACAGTAGAATTTATCAACCATACAGGTATGTGTGTGTATATATATATGAAAGTTTGGTTAATTTAGACTGTATTTTTTGCTTTAAGAAACAATAAGGGGGGGCTGGAGAGATGGCTCAGAGATTAAGAGCACTGGCTGCTCTTGCAGAGAACCTGGGTTCAATTTCCAGCACCCACATGGTGGCTAACACTGGTCCATAACTCCAGGTCCAGGGGAATGCAACATCCTCTTTTGACCTCCACAGGCACTGTATGACACAGGTACACTTATACATTCAGGCAGTACACTTATACACACAAAAATAATAAAATATATTTTTAAAAAAACAATAAGGGGGACGGAGAGAAAGTTCCATGGTCAAGAGAACTAACTGCTCTTCCAGAAAATATGGGTTCAGGTCCCAACCATTTGTAACTCCAATTCTAGAGGACCCAATACCCTCTCCTGGCCTCTATGGACATTGCAAGATGTAGTGCACTTACTGTACATGCAGGCAAAACATTTGTACACATAAAATGGCTTTTTTTTCTTTTTGGTTTTCTTTGAGACACATAAAATCTTAAGTGAAATAATTTTTTTTACTTTTATTTTATGTGTATAAGTATATTGCTTGCCTGTGTGTAAGTACACCCATGTCATACAATGCATAAGTCAGAAGAAGGCATCTGATTCCCCTAGAACTGGAGTTAGTCACCATGTCGGTGCTAGGAATCAAACCTGGGTCCTCTGCAAGAACAGCCAGTGCTCTTAACTGCTGAGCCATCTCTCCAGCCCTGAAATAAGTAATTTTTTTAAAAATCCAATAAGCTGGGGCTGAGAGATGGCTCAGTGAATAAGAGCACTGAATGCTCTTCAAGAGGACCCAGGCTTGATTCCCAGCACCCACATGGCAGCTACGAATTGTCCTTAACTCCAGTTCCAGGGGAATCCGAAGCCCTCTTCTGACCTCTGTAGCATTGTACAACACGGGTGGACTCACATACATGCAGGCAATACACTCATACACATAAAAATAATAAAATATTTTTTTAAAAAAAACGAATAAGCCAGTCTTCCTGCCTGTAATCTCAGCACTTAAAAGAGCCTGAGCTGTGGGAATCATGAGCTCCAGGTCAGCCTGGGTTTCATAGGGAAACCCTATCTCAAAAGCGGGATAGGGGGCAAGAATGAGCCAGCAAGATGGCTCAGTGAGTGAAGATGCTTCCCTCCAAGCCTGGTAACCTGAGTTCAATTGTTGTAGAGAAAAGTAACTCTCACAAGATGTCATCTGACCACACATGTGCCTTAGCATGCATACACCCACATACATACAATAAATAAATGCAATAATTTTTTAACATTTTAGAAACAATTATAAATCAAAACTAGAATCAATTGTATATCAAAATTAGAACTCATTGGGCTCACCGTCATTAACATTGCTCTACTGAGGAAAATAGCAAATCAAGTCCAGATCCACTAAAACCCAACATTAATAGACTTGATTTAAGTTATTCCTTAAAAAGAAGCCTAGTCCATTCTGTTGGCAAACACCTGTGATACCAGTACTTGGGAGGGAGGCTGAAGCAGGGTCCAAGGCCAGTCTTAATAAGTTCTAGTCCCAACCTGAGCTTTTATGAGACCCTTTCTTAAAGAGCAAAAATCAGGGCTGAAGAGATGGCTAAGCTGTTAAGAACACTGGCTGTTCTTGCAGAAAACCTGAGTTCGAATCCCAGCACCTACATGGCAGCTAACAACCATCCATTATTCCAATTCCAGGAGATCCGACAGGCTTTTCTGTTCTCCACTGGCATTGCACAACACAGGTACATTTACCTACATGCAGGCAATATATCCATACACATAAAATAAAAATAGTAAATAAAAATGTTTTTTTAAAAAAAGCAAAAACCTAGGCTGGGCATGGTGGCACACACCTTCAATCCCAGCACTTGGAGGTAGAGGGAGGCAGATCTCTGAGATCAAGGGCAGCCTGGTCTACATAGCAAGTTCCAGGCCAGCCAGGGCTACTTAGTAAGATGCTGTCTTGAAAAAAACAAAACAAAAATTAAGGGGAAATTGAAAGGACTTCAAATATAAAACTGGGTTTACAGTATGATTCACCTATCATGTTTTATTTCCAACTTTAAAAATATAGGCATTAAGGGCAATATTTTATTATGCTGAATGTATATCCAAGGGAAAATCCTTTTAGGTAATCTACAAAATCTTCTTTCCTGATTCTAAGGTAGTATTTTATCTCTTTGTTGTTTATCACCCATTTAAACTCTCAAGACCAAAAGGTCTTTAACTTTTTCATTAAAAGATATCCATCTGGAGCTAGAGATGGTTCAGCAGTTAAGAGCACTGGCTGCTCTTGCAGAAGACCCAGGTTCAAAATTGCCAGCACCAACATAGCAGTGTACAACTGCCTATAACTCAGCTCCAGGGGATCCAACACCCTCTTCTTGGCCTCTGTGGGCAGTGCACACATGTGGTGCACATATATGCATGCAGGCGAAACACTCATACACAGAAAGTAAAAATAAATCTTAAATATATATAAAAGTTGAGACTAGAGAGGTGACTCAGCATTTAAGAACATTTGCTGCTCTTTCAGAAGATCAGGGTTTGATTCCCAGCACCCACATGGTGGCTCACAACTGACTGTAACTCTAGTTCCAAGGGACCTGGTGCCCAATTCTGTCCTCTATAGGCACCAGGCATGCATATGGTACATATGCACACATATATTCAGGCATTCACACATACACATACAAAAAATATTTTTTAAAAGGTACCCATCTAACTTTTTTCAACATTGTATCTTTGACCCACATTCTAAAAATGACAAGAGATTAAATTTAATTAATACTGAATTTTTTACTGCAAAAAAGAGTGCTTTTTAAAGCAAATGAGAAATAACAATATCACATCATTCCAATAAATCCAATGCCCATAAAAATGGCATCAGTACAAAGATCAAAATAAATCTCAGAGTAGGTTAGTAATCAGAACATCATGCAATGATATTAAAGAAGCAACATATAGCATTGTATTGAATATTAAAGTATATAACTATAATCTTACAAATTCTGCATTTTTATACCCAATTGCATTTGAATGACTAAATTTTAGTCTCATTTTTTTCAACTAAGTGCCTAGTCAACAAGCTAATTGAACAAAGACATCTACTGAAATTTACATCCTCGAATACCAGAGTAAACTGAAGGCATTATTCAGATGAGTACACATCTCTGAAAGCTCTATTCATTTTCATCATCTGTGTGATCAGGTTGCAAAGGACATGCTCTGTAAAAAGAATAAAGAACTTCAAGTCACTTACATATCAACTGTTTAAAAAAAATCAGGGACATTAATTAATAGTGCAGTAGGTCTGGTCAAGTAACTAGAAATAAGAGAAAATTAAACCCCATTAATTAGAAAACATCTACAAATTTCAAGTACTAGTGCTGGCCTGGAACTTGCTATGTAGATCGGGCTGGGCTCATTTCATAGAGATCCACCTGCCTCTGCTTCCAGAGTGCTGGGATAAAGGCGTGCACCACCATGTTTGGCTTGCAACAACTTTTTAAAAATTATTTTCCTGGGGCTGAAGAGATGGCTCAGCGGTTAAGAGCACTGACTGTAGAGGACCTGGGTTCACCCATATGACAGCTACGAACCGTCCTTAATTCCAGTTCCAGGGGAATCCGAAGCCCTCTTCTGATCTCCGCAGCACTGCACAACACGGGTACACTCACATACATGCAGGCAATACACTCATGCACATAAAAATAATAAAATATTTTTTAAAAATTATTTTCCCTTTTAATTTGTAGAATCAGCTTTTCTCATTTAGGACATGTTGTGGTTTTTATTAAAAAAGAGTATTTCAGCCAGGCATGGTAGTGTATACCAGTAATCCCAGCACTTGGGTAAGCTGTGGTGGTAGGAGGGCTGCAAATTTGAGGCTACTCTGGTCTCATATCAAGAACCAGGCCAGCCAGAGCTACATAGTTAAGACTGTCTCAATAAGACAAGAAAAAGGCTGCAGAGATGGTTCTACAGTTAAAAGCACTTGCTGCTATTGCAGAGGACAGCAGTTTGGTTCCCAGTACCCACATCAGACAGCTCACAACTGCTCATAACTCAAACTCTAGAGCATTTGATACCATCTTCAGTCCTCCCCAGGGACCTACAAAGACAAGTATGTCCACATCCAGACATTGTTTTTGTCTTTTTAAAACAGGGTCTCCCTGTGGCCCCAGCTGTCCTGGAACTCACTATGTAGACCAGGCTGGCCTTGAACTCACAGAGATATGCCTGCCTCTGCCTCTGCCTCCCAGTACTTTTCAAAAGAACTATTTGCTTAAATATTTTTTCCTATTCTTTTTTTTCTAGTTTTTGACTTTAAATTACAGTGACTTGTATTTACTTTTTCAGTTTTTAAAAATTTATTATTATTTTTGTTTTGTGTTGTTTTTGAGACAGGGTTTCTCTCTGTAGCACTGGCTGGCCTAGAACTCATTATGTAGACCAGGACAGCCTCCAATTCACAGAGATCTGCCTGCCTCTGCCTCCCAACTGCTAGGATTAAAGGTATGTGCTACCATGCCTGGCCCATTTATTTATTTTATGTGTATGAGTTGTTTTGCCTACATGTATGGAGGCCAGAAGAGGGCATCAGATTCCCTAGAATTGGAGTTATGGACAGTTGTTGGCCCCTATGTAGGTGCTGGGAACTGAACCTGGGTCCTTTGCAAGAACAACTATTGTTCTTGACTGCTGAGCCATCTCTCCAACTCCTGTTCTTTACTTTTTCCTTATTTTTTAAAGTTAGCATACAAAGTAATGGGTTTCATTGTGCAATTTCTTTTTTTGTTTATTTTGTTTTATTTTTTGGTCTTTTTGAGACAGGGTCTCCCTGTAGCCCCAGCTGTCCTGGAACTCACTGTAGACCAGGCTGGCCTTGAACTCACAGAGATCCACCTGCCTCTGCTTCCCAAGTGCTGGAATTAAAGGCACGTATCACCACGCCCGGCATGAGATTTATTTATTTATTATCAGTGTATGTGAGTGTGGGCATGCTTGCCTGACAATGTATATGTAGAGATCAGAGGACAACTTACAGAGGTTGGTTCTTTCCTTCCATTGTGGGCTCTGGAGATGGAGCTCAGGTTGTCAGGCTTGTGTGCCAACTGCCTTTACCCACTGAGCCATCATGCCAGTCTACATTTTCATTTTTATACATATATTATACTTTATTCTTTTTTTTTTTTTTTTTGGTCTTTTTGAGACAGGGTCTCCCTGTGGCCCCAGCTGTCCTGGAACTCACTTTGTAGACCAGGCTGGCCTTGAACTCACAGAGATCCGCCTGCCCCTGCCTCCCAAGTGCTGGGATTAAAGGCGTGCACCACCACCAGTTATTCTTAAATCTAGCTATTCTGCACACAAAGGGAGTTTACCCTGCCTTTGGGAGAAAAAAAAGACTGTAAAGAGCAGCGATTGTGAAACATGAATTCAGGAGTTCATGCTCCTTCTGACATATTCATTTACTATTTCAATAAAGGGATCATCACAATTCTCCTGACCAAAGACAAATCAAAGACAGTGGCCAAAATATAGTGCAAACCCTTATAACCTAGATTGTGGCTGTTGTTTTTGTTTTGTTTTGTTTTGTTTTATGGTGGTGGTCTTGGTTTTTTGGTTGCTTTGATTTTTTTTCTTCCGAGGGAATTGAAGCCAGGGCCTCTAACATTCTAGGCAAGTATTCCACCACTAAGCTACATCCCCAACTCTGATTTTAGTTTTTTCTGACAGTCTCACTATGTACCGCAGGCTAGCATTGAACTGATGATCTTCCTGCTTCAGCCTCTGAAGTACTGTGCTGACAGGCATGTTTGACTATTACTTACTTGTACGTCACTGATTTACTTATACCATGGATTAAAATTGTTGATGGGGCTGGATAGATGTCTCAGGTGTTAAGAGCACTGGCTGCTCTTGCAGAGGACCTGGTTTCAATTCCCAACACCCAGATGGCAGCTAACAACTGTCTATAATTCCAGTTTGAGAAATCTGACACCCTCTTCTGGCCTCCATGGGCATTTTACAACATGGGTGTACTTACATACCTGCAAAGCACTCATACACATAAAATAAATATAAACTTAGAAAAATGTTCTTTGTGAGATTATATAGTTTCCATGTGATGGAAAGTCTTTTTGCTGCTTCTTTTTTTTTTTTTTTTTTTTTTTTTTGAGACAGGGTCTCATATAGTCCAGGCTGACCTGTGTTACTAAGGATAACTCTTGATTCTCTTGCTTCCCATGTACTGACATTACAAGTATATGCCATCATGACCACCTCAATAGGTCTTATTCTTGTGATGATTAATGTTATAGCCACATTTGGCTATATTGCCAAATATTTTATTTTGCTAATGTTAAGTCATAAACTATCCAAGAAGGCTGAAATATATTCTAGGCTCATCTTGTTCATAATGTTCACACTAGAACAAAAACAGCTTAGGATGGTACTAATGAGTGGAAGCTACAAAAATATAAAATCATGAAAAATTCCTGTTAAAATCTTTCCCCTCGGCTGGAGGGATAGCACGGCCGTTAAAGGCTAAGGCTAACAACCAAAAATCTTTCTCCTGCTGGGCATGATGGAACATACCTTTAATCTCAGCATCCACTTGGAAGAGGCAGGCGGATCTCTATGAGCTCAAGGCCAACCTAGTCTACATTACAGAGCTCCAGGCCAGCCAGAGCTACATAGTGAGATCCTACCTCCAAAAAAAATCGTGAGCCAGGCATGGTGGTGCACACCTTTAATCCCAGCACTCAGGAGGCAGAGGCAGGTGGATCTCTGTGTGTTCAAGGCCAGCCTGATCTACAGAGTGAGTTCCAGGACAGCTGGGGCTACAGGGAGACCCTGTCTCAAAAAGACCAAAAAAAAAAAAAAAACTTTCTCCGGAAATGACTTCCAGTGGTCATGAGTATAACTAATGTAAGATTTAGCCATTGCTAAATGTAATAAAGGTAGTAGGTGTGACCATATAGATAGTATTGATTCCTTTGTTAAATATTTTGCTTCAGTAATTCTTTCATCCATTCATTTTTAGTTTGTGATCAGATCAATTCCAAATATACAATCCAAAAGAAAGGTAATATGCAAATATGAATCAAGAAGGAATACAGGTTTCTGAAAATGGCATACTAGCTTAAAACTTACTAAAATTATTGTAGGACATTAGATGATAAAACCTCAAACATCAATAGGCGTGGCTGTATGAGTCAACAATTTCATGCAGTGGCCTGTCCATTTCTTTCATTTTTATTATACTTTTCTTTTTGAGACAGAGTCTCCTTTAACCTAAGCTAGCCTTGAACTTCTGATCCTCCTGATCCTAATACTCTACCTCCCAAATGCTTTGATTATAGGTCCAGGCCTGTCAGTCACCATGCCAGGCTCATTCACTTTCCTTTAAATTTTTTATTTTTGCCAGGCGTGGTGGCATACGCCTTTAATCCCAGCACTTGGGAGGCAGAGGCAGGCAGATCTTTATGAGTTCAAGGCAAGCCTGGTCTACATAGTGAGTTCCAGGACAACTGGGGCTGCAGGGAGACCCTGTCTCAAAAAGACATAACTAAATAAATAAATAATAAATAATTTTTTATTTTTTATTTTATTGAGACAGGGCTTTACTATATGGCTCCAACTGGCCTGGAACGTACTTTGTAGACCAGGCTGGCTTGAGCTCACAGAACTCCACCCACCTCTGCCTCCTTAGTATAAGATTAAAAGCATGTACCACTATGCTCAGCTTCCTTTTTTAAAAAATAGGATCTTGCTATGTCTAGGCTGGCCCCAAACTCACAATACTCCTTTCTCAGCTTCCCAAATGCTGGGATTATAGGCATGCAGCATAATACCCGGCTGAGGACTCGATTTTAGCTGTGTAAAAATACTGAATGATAGAAAATGATATCTAAAAATATCTACCCAGATATGTATAAGAGTTTTTAAAATCTAGAGGGCTGGGATGTTGCTGGAACACTTGTTTACAATGCATGAATCCCTGATCAGTGTGCGCACACACATACACACGCAAACAAGAAAGGAACACATACAATGTCAAGGGGCTGGTAATATAGCTCAGAGATGGAGCATCTACTTAATATGTACAAGGCCCATAGTTCAATCCCCAACACCAAAGAGAGAGTGAAAGAGAGAGGGAGAGATATGCATGAGAGAGAGAGAGAGACAGAGACAGAGACAGAGACAGAGAGACAGAGAAAACA